TACCATATTGAAAAATATACTATTTTTGTATGATAATTATGGGTTTTGTATTTTATTTTAATAGAAGTTGATGTTGCTTTTGCAATTATCCATCAATTTTTTAAAATTAAACACTATCTACAGATTTGCATCGAAGCGTTTCTTATGATAGTGATTTTAATCACTGTCAGATTAAATCTATACTGGACCCTACTATGCAATGTCTCCACTATGCCACGACCCCACTGTGCTACCGTTTTATTATTCTGTAAGTAATTGAGTGGGTTATGATAAAAAAATCACCCTGTATTATTACTTTTTGTGAGCTCAGCTAAAATATCTGAATAGTATTACGTGGATGTGATTCTATTTTTTGTACATAAAACTTTTTCTATCAATACTTACAATATGATAATTTTCTGCAGTTAAATATATTTTTCACATATCCCCTTTATATAAAAACTATTTTAACGTAGTAAGTTTCAAAATTGATCCAATTCCACAGAAATTTATTTATAAATAATAATTTTATTTTAGATTTATTAAATTTAATTTAAAAGTGTATTAATCTCTAAATAGTAATTTACTTTAAATTAATCGTTTTTATTAGTGTATTTAGCAACGTTGCTAAGGTGCTGCACTACCTTTCTCGGGACATATCGAATGTATTGTAAAATTGTAAAAAGAGCCTAAATAATCAGATCAATTAAGTCAAAAAACTCAAATAGGTTGACGCCCGTTTAAGACTTATTAATGAGTTAATACTTAATTAAAGTAATAGCACCTAAGGTGACAATGTTTTAGGGGTGGCTAATTGTCCCTGGCGAAAAATAATGTTTATAAGTTTTTTGTTTTGATAATGTACTAAGTTTTTTTTCATATATAAGTAGAACTGAAAGTAAAGCAACTAATTATTAGTATATGTTTTTAGACAAACGATTGAGTTATTTACACTATACAGGTTGTTTAGTAAGTAAGAAAACAGGTAAATTGCTATAAACAATGAGAACAATAAAAACCTGTTTCCTTAATTACTGAACACCCAATATATAGATTCTATATATTATACAGGTTGTTCAGTAAGTTAGGAAACAGTTAAATTGTTACAAACAATGAGTACAATAGAAATTCGTTTCCTTATTTACTGAACACCCTGTAGAATATTCAGGTCAGATGTTACAAACAATGAGAACAATTGAAACCCTTTTTATTACTTACTGAACATTCTGTAGAGTAAAATTTTCCTGTTTCCTAACTTACTATACAACCTGTACATACAGGTGTATACATTTTTATATATTTATATAAAAAAATTATCTAATTTTGCAATATTAGATAATATTACATTTCAAAAGTAGCGCGAAAATTCGATGAGGAACTATATAATAAATGTATAACATATTTTTATTGTTAAGATTTTAATTTTGTAAATAATATAATATTTATATTTTTGATTAACCACTGTAACTTTATTTTACGTTTTTAAAATGTTTAGTGATAAAAAAACAACTACATTTATACGCTATATCGCAACAAGGAAAAAATTCTATAAAACCTGTACGTATTACTGTTTGTTATTATTTCAAATGTTTCCATTTCGTTGATCAAAATAAAAATACATTTAAACCGTGTTAATTTTTTTGTCCTATAGTAGTTACCAAATATCTTTTTTAAAATTATGTGTAATACAATCTGGTGAGAACCAAATTTTTTATATTTATTCTTTATTATGTTATGAATTTTTGTAGTTATAAATATAATTATATTGATTTGCTAAACAAACATGACATTGTGGAGAAAGAGATACCATTTAGATTACTTGAAGTACATAACTTTGTAAAATATTTCTAATATCACTTTTTTAGTATATAATATTTTCAACTAACTTATAAATTAGAAAAGATGTACTTACTAGATGACATACTACAATTTAGTTAAATAATTTGGACGAATATATGTTGATTATTTCTTAAAACTTTTATAGGTTATTTGTAATTGCAATAAGCATACATTTCTTCTATAAATTAATAATTTAAATAATAATAAAAATTAAAAAATTAGTTTTATTTTTCAAATTAAAATTAAAATTAAATAGTAAAAATATGATTTTAATGTAGTCTAATAATTCATTAATTATTTAAAAGAATTGCTATAAAATGTATATTGTATCAAAAATTATTTGTTTTTTAGATTTTTCAGACCATGTTGTTTTTAAGTTATATTTATATGTTAAATATTGCATATCCTAATATTTTTGATAAATAATAAATATATCTTTAATTTTACATAATAATAAGGTTTAATCAAAGTTAATTCAGTATTAATTATTTTTTAAATAAATTAAATTTTATACTATAAAATAATAATAATAATAAATTTAATTTGTTCTATGGTAAAACATAATAATGCATACCAATTTGTTATATTACTTTTTTTTAAATAAATTATTTTCAAAATTTTCGTAAAATATATAATAAAATTAACTTAAATATTTAATAAATATATACAGCTTGTCTATTTAAGTATTATCTATAATGATTAGCTTTTAAATATAGATATTTTTAGTATAATATATTATTTTATATTTAAATTATATTATTATATGATACTAATTTATATTTTATATTTTTAAATATGAAATAAATAGTATTTTAAATATATTATATTAAAATTGATATTGAAATTAACGAAGAAAAAAGTTCATAACGCATAAAATACATTTTTAGTGTCAAATTCTGATAAGTTTTTAACTTGAAGTAACTGTACATAGAAGATAATAGGTCATGTAATCATATATTCAATGCGCTTTATTCTATAGAATTAAATATTATAAACATATTACAAAATAGAATTATCCGTGTTTAAAATATATCTGAAACATCTATATGTATATTAGACACCTCTCCCCTATACCAGGCATAAAATTATTCGGTCAATTTTTATACAAATCACCAGAATTTTGTTAAAATGGTGTTTTTATAAAATTGTAAATAATTTATAGTAATATAAATTAATTTTATCTGGTCAATATTACTTGCAAGATTTCATAGATAAAATCAAATGTTGCACAGTGTATCTAAAAGTAAAAGGTTATAATATATAAATGAAGTGAAATCTTCAGCCAGTTAAAAAAAATATAAATAAAAAATTATATAAGAATCTTTATTGTGTTATTAATATATTTTCTTGTTTTGAAAAAATAAATATTTTGAATACCTATTTATTTCACTAAATACAAATATGACCTATGCATAAATTGTTTGAAATGCATGAAAGAGAAAAAGATTTATTAGATATGTCACACTACCACCTAAAATATTGTTAGACTTAACTTTTACCATGTTAAAACGTGACAAGCACTAAAAATAAGTCGATTATATAGAATTTACAATTGTGTGTAATCTTGATTTTTATAAGAAAGTATTGATTCAATTGAAGAAAATAAATAGTTTGGTTTTTTATGAATAGTATTTCATTGCGATATTCTAACAACAGTTTTTCTATTTATCACAAATGTCATCGAGGGGTTTCCTTTTCGAAAACTTTAAATTTTATCTTTTTACTTTTTATACCAAAAAAATCGTAGTGTCTCTGAATTAAAATGATTCTGAGAGTCACACAAATATTAAAAATTAATATTTTTGTATTATATATATTTTTTTGTTTACTTTTTAAATAAATATAAGTTTGTTTTTTATTTGTGTAAAAAAATTGTGTTAATATAAATATTATTTCTAATTCATATTAAATATGATAAATTTTTTTAGTACTTTAATCACTCATAATATAGTCTTATAGTATTTGAATAAAAAGTTAATAACTGTAAAAGTTGCATTGATTAACTCAATTCCTAACTAAATAATGTCAGTTAAAATAATAGGTTATAAATTTAGTTGGTTCTTTTGTGGGTCATATGACGATGATAATTTCTACATTTTTATTATAATTAACTTGTTTTACATATTTTTATTTTGTCACTGCGTAATAAAATTTAACTTGCTGAAATATATTAAAAAAATATAAATGTTTGTTGTTTTTAGAGATAAATTGGGGTCACGTGAACAACCTCCACCACTTCTGCGATCAAGTACTTTACCGGCTATTATTGTGCCTGGTCTTAATATTTTACATGCTCAAATTGGTCCAAACTCCACACAAAACGGTAATTATAGTGAAATATTTTTCCATTTTCATAGCTGATTTGATAAGATAAAATTTTTAAGAATCAGTTTTATTTTAGGAATATTTGCATAATAATAATATCAATAATAACATAAAAAATATATTTTTTTTTTAAACTTTAACTTATAGATTTTGTTTAAGTTAATTATTTTTTTAAATCCAATTTTGATTAGTAAAATAAAACTGAGCCAAGTACGATAAGTTTAATATTACTTGAATTTTAATTTTCAGTAAAATATACTAATACTAACATTTTACGTCAGTCCGTATAGTTATAAAAACATGAATATTATAACATTTTTACAAATATAACTACTACATTGTACTTGAGGATTATTTGGTATCCGTACAGTCATTAAGAGTATAATTACATATGGAAGAAGTGTTTTATAGTTTTGCTGTGAGAATTTCAAAGGAAGTATTGGCAAACAATACAACACGTGAAACCATACCGTCATGGTAGTCTAAAATGTGAATAGATAGTTATTATTATTGCTGCTACTGTTTGTTTTAAGACGGGTAGATTAGATAAATTTCGATTTGTGTTAATAGCTACTAGACAACTTAAATTCTAAGAATAATAATAAACCCATACAGGCAAGCTAAAAATTACTAGTCTTGTATGTATCGATATTGCCTATCTAACACGCCTTCATTTATTCTTTCATTAAAAAAAAACCCTTAAAATTTAAACATTCGTTAAATTCTAATTTAATTTTAACCATACACCATTATAATTAATGTGATACTTTAAAAACCTACAGTGGTAAATTAGCTTTTATGTATGTCTTAATTCGCATTTTTTTTTTATAGACAAACGTTTTTACAACCAAAATACGATATTTTTATCGTTTTTTTTTTTTTGTAGAAATATTGAAGTTTCAAAATCTAACACTGCGAAATATAAATTTTCTTGTGAACTGTTAGAGATTAAAAAAAAAATCGTTTGGTTAAAATGAATCTAAAGTTATGACGTTATCGCATGTTTAAACAAAAGAAAATACATTTTCAATAAAATATGGCTTTGTTGAAAATGTATTGTTCATTTTTGAAAATCTTTTTCGATATCGATTCTTTTCGTTTATTAAAGGTAAAGATTTATGAAAGAAATAAAAAGAAAGGCGCTCTTGCTACCAAAGTCATCTAAAATAAATTCAAATATTTGTTTTCATGGCAACCTTTCGTCAGACCTTATTCAAATCGATTTTATCAAATTTTGACGCTGATTTGTTAGATTCTAGTAATTAACTTAGGATTATTTTTTAAAGTGCACCAGACCTTAACTTAATATTAAGTTCTAATTCATTTACGTAATGTATCGACAATAATGTTGTGTACTATTATATGACATAAGCTCACAGTGCTGATATTTTTAACTCACGACCATAAAATAAACAAAAACAACAACAGTGAAAAAAATACTGATTTAACGGATAACAACTATGCTGTTTTATAACTCCGTTTTAATTATTAATATAGGATATTCATAGCAGAATTTAGCAATACACTGTGTTATAATCCCATTTTCAATTAAAATTTAAATAAGGTGGTTATTTTGGATACATATTAATAGAGGGAAGTTTTATACACTTGAAAAATATACCAGGAAATAATATAAAAGAACAATAAATGCAAAAAATAATATATTTATTTTAAAAACATGATATTTGTAGTTTTAAAATCATTTAAAACTGAAAATTTATAGAAAAATATTTCATATTAGAATAAAACTTGGTAGAATTACAAAATTTGTTAAATTATTCCATAAAATTTTTATTTTTCAATTTCTGTATTAAATAAATTGATACGTAAGCAGGATAATCATATTTTATACTAATAATACTTATAATAAAACAGTTACAAGTTTAAATTTTAACTGACGAAGTTCAAACTATAAATAAATTATATCGCATATTTTAATCAATTTAAAAATAAAGAAATGTGCTGAATCATAGTAACCATATTACAGGAATTGTAAAAAGTTTAATATTTTTTATGTGATAGCGTATGTGTTTAGCGTTGATAATGGTAACATTGTTTCCGAAATACGTATCCGCGACTTTTCATTAATTTTTTTGTGGCTTTTGAGTTTAATATTTTTAATATTTTTTAGTTTTTTTAAATTAATAATATTTTTAATATAGTTTTAATTTTACTATAGTTTAACTTTCTACTTTTGCCTAGTTAGAACAAATATTTCTTCAATAATTCAAATAGAGATATTTGGGAGTATATTATTATAATATGAAATTAAAGTATATTTATATATATTTAGGTTTATGCAATAAAAAAAAACCTCTCTGAGGCTCTAAAAATATTTGACGCGTTATTAAAGGTGATATTAAAAGTTAATTATTTAGTTATAAAATACCTAAATTATGTATGTATTTTAAACCAAATTATTTAGCTAAAATTAAAATTATACCTTCTAAAATAACATCGACTTGTCTATTTTATTAAATTATATTTTTTAATAAAATTTAATATAATTTTTTTTTTTTATGTTTTTATCGCTTATTAGCCCATTTAGCGGCCTCCCCAAAGGAGGAGGTTTCTTAACTATTTATACTCCGGGGTGGGAGGTTAGTTCGTCACCGGAGAGAGGTATGGGTACTTTAATTACCGAACTGATCTCTCGTTCGGCAAATAAAACCGCCTGTGACCAATTTTCGAAACTGAGGCAGTGCGCGTCAAGCACTGCCACGTTACCGACTCGACCACACCGTACCCTAATTCATTAAATACTAAAAATGTATTTTTAATTTTCAAATGCTCACGTAATGTTAAAACTTACGACCATAAATGAAATACTTTACATAATTAATTTACCTAATGAGGTTAATCAAGCCTATTGTCGTGTCACGGCACTAGACTTAATACATTTTGTCAGTGGTGCTATATATAACCGAGTACCCAATTATTAATATTCGTAATAGTTTCTACTCTTATCAATAGTATAATATTCAATTTTTGACAAGCGAGAACTCGTATTCTTCCCATTGTACAGAGCAAAGTAAACTATTTAATTGTTTTTAGCAATTAGTTATTACATGTTTGATAAATTGTTTCTTTTAAGAAATTACCATTAAATTTTTATTTAATACTGCGTCGTAAAAAGTGTTTTTTTTTCAGATAAACGTTTATATTTTTATCAATACAGTGCCACAATTCATTAGTACTTGAGAAAAAAATATAACTGTAAATTAAATTGATTTTATGTCGTTAAACAGCAACGTTGCATTTAGACTGTGTTCAATTATCACAAATAAAAATAATAATAGTTCTCATGTTGTTACCACAAAAAAGTAACTAATGAACCGTTAAAAAAGTTTAGCTTTCATTTTATTGTTTTAATCATTCACATCAAACGTTGAACGCATTAAAGTCCAAAGACTAAAAACATTTCTTACTATTTTTTTTGATATTTATAAAAAAGACTATGAGTAATTATGAAAATCATTATAATTATTATTAAAAACTGATTTCTTAAATATTAAAAAATATTAACAATGAATATGAGTTTTTCATTTATTTTACTAAACTTTATTTCATTAGTAATTTCACGTGATGTTAATAAAAAACAATACATTTAAGATATGAAACAGATAGATTGATTTAGTCTTAACATCTAACAGTGATTAAAATCACTATTTTAAAAATGCTTCGATTGGATTGAGCTAAAATAAAGTTCGTTTATTTGTTTTTGATAATTATATCTGTTGAAATTAAAATTTTAATTTATCAAAATTCATTAGAAAGATAGAACCTAGAACTGGATAAATAGCTTAAATTGCTTTTTTTTTTTTTTTGAAGACAGGACTAGTTTTCAAAATGGAAAGTATCTAATCTACCTTATTTATATCTTTACAGTTTAGATTTAAATATAATCACTAATAATTGAAAATAATAATAAATAGAAAAGAATAACAATATAAAACATACATTTTTAATGAAAATTTAAAAAAAAAAATAATTTTGATTAAACTTTGGGTGCCATTAACTAATTGAAAATAAGTCAGGGAGACAGTTTTTTTTTCTTTTAGTATATTACATTAGATAAAATTAAAAATATCTTTTAATAACGAAGGATTTTTGGAACAATTTCAGAATTTATACTAATATTAAATTACTAAGTTACTAAAACGATACTAGCATAACTGAAATGAAAATATAAAATAGAGAATTTTTGTACAAAAATAATAAATTTTTAGTATTTGCCAGCTATTTTAACATTACATCGTTGAAAATTTTTTTTATGTGTAATATATTACACAAGTTGTAATATAATACAAGTTTAAAAAATACGAGATTTCTGTAACATTTTCAAAAATTAAGTTAAAAAATTTAATTAGTATTAAAATTTTGCTATTCTGATTCCACTCTTAGGTTTCATAGGGTTTGAATTTATTAAAATTTATAAACAAAATTAAAATTGAAATATGATTTAGTATCTTAATTTTTTTTAAGTTATAAAAATAGCAAATATAATATAACTTCTATATTTATTATACTCTATTATGGCGTCAAAATTTGTTTATGAGTAAGTTAAAGATAAAAGTACGCTTTTATAAAGAGTACTAACCATGAAACTTCTTATGAAAATTGTGAGTGATGACAAAATAACATTACAGTTTTAAAACCCTATATTTTAGCTTCTATGCAAAGTTGAGAAGGTATTAATTTTACTATGTGTTTTTTTTGTGTTTGTTACCACTTTTTCTCAGCTTTCACCGAACCGATTTATTTCAACGATACGTCAAAAGATCAAAAATCGTATCTAGTCGAAGATATTACTCTCAAAAATTAAAAAAATTTTCTTCGTTCCCCGTAAATGGAAAAAATCTCCAAAACAGTTACAAATTTAAAAATCAATAATTTTTGACATTTATTCATTTCTTTTTACTTAAAACTGTCATAATTTTTTGAAAAATGTATGGATCATTACAATTTTTTTTTTAATAGATTTATTAAGTATTAACC